AGCAACCGCAGCGCAGTATTACAGACAGTAATTGTACTTTTATAGATTTATATCAAAGATATTAATAAGGACTTTGATACAATGGTTCAAATTTTAAAGGTTTTAATCAACTGAAAGCAGTTAACATTACATGGCATTTTTGGCAACATGGCTTTTAGCAATCAAAGAGTAAATGATATATAACATAGAACTGTACATAAAATGCCAACATAAAGGCTTTGTAATCTCAAATACAAATCTACAATATAATACATGTATATACATCAAAATAAGGCATTTCTGTGTGTTTCCAACTACATCTACACCTGCTATGTACATGTTGAAACATGTGTTAAAGTAAACAAAACACGAAAAGTCAACAGTATATAATTTGGAGAATGTATTCATGAACAAGTAAAATGATGTAAGTGCCATGTTGAAGAGCAGGGGGGAGTATTTATGAGCTATGTGACATTAACAGCCAGTGAAGCCCTTTAACATGATCATCCCCATGCTAACAGAAAACTTGAACTAATTCCTAAATATTTACATCAGTATTTAGGATAATATAAATAATCTCCCCATGATTTTTTCTTGACAGGGTGTAAATCCTCGCTTTACTTATTGTGGTCAAAATTGCTCAATATTACCCCCATTTTTGGCAAAATGCAAACATATTTTCAACAGGGTGAAGTGTATTTGCCATATTTTTCTACCACATCCCTAATATGAAAAATATGAAATCTTTAACCATGTTCAGTGTCAATCCAACAATATAAAAATTATTCAGGTCCACCCTTGTTTGATTTTCATTGTTGAGTTTCTGTGATCTCTATGTTACAGTAAGAAATGATAAAAAGTAAACATTTAATATTTGAAAACCAAAAAAGTTTCAATGTTAAAAAGTTAACATCTCGTTGATATTCAGACGCATGTAGTGCAAACAGTTCAACAGAGGTAACGTTTTTTAAAATAGTAACCTAGACCCATAAAAGGAGATTTGCAACTAAACCATTCATGTTCTTAAAAGGATTTATGAAAATTTGATTCATAAAATTTGCACTGAGCTTAAAAGATGTTGAATAATGAGAATTGAAAATTCTATGAGCGATATTGAGATTTACTAAACATATTTCTTTTATTGACTTATTGATCATCATAGACCACTTCTAAAAAATCATTTTTGAATATTGAATTTTCGAAATCTTTAACAACTGAATGTTTTAACAAGTTATTAAACCTGATTCAAGTGCAGAAGTATCTCTAAAATGTTATACATGTATACTCGTACATGGTCAAATTAATCACCAAAATGTAGACTAATCATATAAGCATTTGAATGTTACAATATTTCTTTTTTTCAGTCTTTCAACTTTGACTTTGTCCTATTTATCATAATTGAACTGCAGACGAGATGATTCAAAAGATGAAAGTAGCGGCATATAATTATTTACTTAACTAAGCACATAATCATTTGAACAAAATGCAAGCAGAAATTAAGACACACTCAAAATGCAAAACTTCATCATCACATGACAGTTTCTGACCAATCAGATTTAAGAAAAGTATTGAAAATGAGACGGCGATAGGAAAGATGTCTCATACAAAAACTTCAATACATAAACTTCTGAATTTTAGTTTGTAAAACAATGGCTTAAACAATACATGAAGCACTTAGACATCTTATAAAACCTTCCAAACCTCAATATACAATCCCATGCATCAATCCGTAATTTGGTAACTAAAAGGCAACATCAAGATATACTAATGATGATGACTTTTTATAAACAAATCTTAATTCTGATTTAATATATGGACCAAAATGAACTCCCAGTTTCCAAACTTTTGGAGGGGAGTGTACATATATGTACATTGGGGTATAGAGGAAGGCTCAAAGGTTCAGTTAGATCCCATACAAAGAATTCAGAGAGAGTGCAATGTTTACCACTGGACTTATGACACATTACAGTGTTGGTGTATGTAAACAAATATTGTCCTCCTATTAAGGCACATCAAAGTTCCGAGCCTAGAAATATTATGACTCTGTTGTTGAAGTATGCCAGAAATTAAAATAAAAAAACATTGAACAATACTGAGCTATTAACATCAGAAGTGCTCTTAATTTATGCAAAGGGGGAGAGGGAAAACCATCACCCATTGCGATTTTCAAAGGCTCTTCTATCTTTAAAAGTAGATAAGGATGGACTTTAGAAAATCATGATTCCCATCCACCATTCAAAAAGTTTCAGAATGCACAAATATTAAGCCAAAATTTAACAAATCTGATCTCAATAGCTAAATAAAACAGCCGAAAAATACCATCAGATCACAATATTATCAACTGGATTTTTGTATGTGACCTTCTGTTGGTTGAAATTTGGGTTGACTTTCCTATGTTTTCATATTTACTGAACTTTAAGAAAATCATAAGCTGTCAGGGATGGCTGTTTACTTTGAAGATATATTCGCTAAAATGTGTCAATAATATGATAATTATCGTACCAGGTACTGACACCTAGTGATCTTAAAGAGATTTTCTGAACTTAAGTAAGACAATATTGGCACATTTTTAATTTATTATTATTTATTTATTGTTAGGATTATGGTTCTTATACCCCCAAATAAACTTGTAGCTACTGATGTACCACCATATGATGTACAAGACATCATACTTAAATAATGTCCCGCTAGTTGAACATGAACAGTTACATTTTTGATAATTTGGATATATCAGTTCATCACCAAGGTCCTGCAATGTTTACCAATAGAGCTTAAAAATTAACTAAATAATTCTATAAATCAAATTAACTTAAGACAAAACTTAATACCAATTAGATGCCAGATGTGATTGCTGTTCTGCCATTCCAGAGCATTACCCCCCATAAAGCTGAAGATAACTGTTTTGGAGCAACTCTAATAATCAAGCCAATATTTCAGCTCACCTTTCACAGTATTCCAATTATAAAACTTAATTATGCTTAATTAAAGTAACAATTACATTAAACAGGTAATGTTAAACTTAATTAAAATTTAAGTTTGTAATGTTATCAAGTATTATTGTTTATCAAACATTGTCGTACAAGCCAAGAGATGTTTTGAATCTTCATTTAGACAATTTCCTTTCATATATGCCTCAGTTACAAAAAAAACATGTCATAAACCTCAAAAAACTTTTCAACCTTCAGAATACATGACAGTTACAGTTAAAAGCAAGCAGGAAAGTTTTTAGCGCACAATGGGGGACTTGTTCATTTTAAAAGGGTCGGTGATTTTTTGGTATAGAGTAGGGTATAGTAGACCCCCCTGCTGTACATAAAGGCTGAGCAATTAGTGTTACTGTCACATGTTCCACCTCAGCACGCATAAATGTACCCGATCCAATAAAAGTGAATTTACTACCCAGTCTAACACACAAGCCAGAAAAACTATTGGGATTTTGTCAAGCTTGTAAATATCAACTGCCTTATAAATATCAGCTCACATCTGAGCTCTATTCCAGGTTTATATTTAGCTATCAGCACTGTACCCTTATTTTTAATATAGTCTAATCCATCAAGTCATTCATATTACCCCTTATTGAACATGGTTGGGGATCTGGGAAGTATAAAGTCTGTTCTGTTGCTATTTTTACATATTATTGGGTTCTGTTTCTACAATTCTCTAATTTACACATGTTGTCCAGTTGCGGAAATGGAGCAATGGGAGACCACACACTTGATACAATTTTTGCATTTTCCTTATGAGTAAAACTGTTACCAATATAACTCATGCTGTAGAGTCTTACAACGAACTTTCCATATTAACTCATCAAGAATATATACATTCATTCACACATCAACTCCCTTTGTTAGGAATATACCAGATTCACATAATACGCAAACAATTTCAAATAATTCCACACAATTCATATAAACAGTTTACTTATCCGTTGTATAAACGGAAGACTTCAAACATCCATTTATATTCAGTGAGGCTCAGACTGTATGATATTCAGAGGTCTAAAAATAGGAGTTCAACAAGTTGAGCAGGTGTAACACCAACTCTCTAGTACCATTTATTAGAACACCTTATAATCTTTCAGAGTAGAAAATAAACCAGGAAATATAGTCCCATGTGTTATGGAAATATGGTCACCTATGATGCCCCCTACTCCTCTCTCTAACACAAGGTAGAGGAATGGGGGAGAGATGAACTAAGTCCTTCAAGTCATTGCTACTCCTCACTCTCCTATTGAGTGATAGAGGTTCAAGAATAAGTCACAATGCAAATATACAGGAACAAAATATAATGCATTGTTGAGGTAAAAATAGAATGCAAATATGGTTGTATTGTTCTAAATTTTATAGGCTTTAATAATTCATCTTTGAATGGATTTATGAAGTTGAGAAATCTCAAATAGCTGCAATATTTAACTTTGACTGAAAATTCTAATACATGTCATTATCAAAATTATCCCATATTTTCTGCAGAGCTCAGTTCGTAATCTTTCTTAATTGTTTAATCAATCCATTAATCTTACATAATACTAAGCTTATGGTATACTAATTTAAAAATACAATCAACTTCTTTAAGTCATATTGCAACATAAGGTTAAGAGATTTAAACAGGAATTGAACAGTTGGATTAATATGGTTCAATTAAATTATGGGCCTCTTTCAATACATCACATTACAGTGCTCTAAGGGGGGTATGCGATAATTCAACTGTGTGATTTTTTAATGGCCAATCCAAGCAGGTGGAATTTCAAGATTACGCATTATAGATGAAATGATATGAGATATTGGCTTATTGTTATGAATATGAGCTAAAATTTTCTACTTATTTTTTCACACCATACTGTTTGTCACCTTTGTCTTTTATCACATCAATTCAGTCATTCACTCTCACTCAACTGTCAACCCCAAGCTTGCAATTTCATACAATTTTCTTTCTTTAAGCTCAACTAAAAATTATTTGAACGAATGAAATATACTGTAAGTAGCATTTGTAAATACATGAATGGATAATAATGAAACTCTTACCTTCGTCTGGGTCAATGCTGAATCTTCCAAGCCCTGTACCATCTTGTATCGAGTATGTGATCTTGTAATCATCCGCTGACGCATTAGAGTTTCGATCATCATAATCCGTTGCAGAAACTCTCATTATACTAGTCCCTACACTTGCATCTTCCCGAATAGTACCACTGATTACGAAGTTATTAAATCTTGGTACATAGAGATTCTCATTGACATCGATGATTTCGATGATGACGTGGCATTTGGAAGACAGAGGAGGGTTTCCCCTGTCTCTAGCTCTGGCTGTTATGTTGTACACTTGCTTCGATTCATAATCCAATCTATTCGCGATTCTCACTGTCCCTGTGAACTTATCTACAGTGAATTTGTTATCCATGCCATCTTGTAGACTGTATCGCACCAGACCACCTGCCTCCAGGTCACTATCATGGGCGCTGACAGTTAATACTATGCTCCCTACTGGCAGATCTTCTCTTATGCGTACATGATAGGAGGATGGCTTGAACTCGGGAGCATTGTCATTGATGTCCTCTAGTTTAATGGACACCACGACTGTTGATGTCAGTGGTTGATCTCCTAGATCTTTAGCTATAACCTCCAGCTTGTATTCTTCTTGTAATTCACGGTCTAGCTTCTGACTGACCTTTATGACCCCAGTTTTGGAGCCGATAGAGAAATCATCAGTATCTGTGATGATGTCATAGATGATACCTGCATTTTTTCCTTGGTCTGCATCCGTAGCGAATACTTTAACAATTGACATTCCTATAGCAACATTCTCTGAGAGAGTCTTCTGGTACTCCTGGTTCTCAAATACAGGGGCGTTATCGTTTGCGTCATCAATGTTGATTGTAAGTGAAGTGGTGGCAGATTTACTGGGGACTCCAAGATCATACACTTTAATCTCTAGTTTATAACTATCCTTTGTCTCACGATCGAGCCCAGACAAGATGACCAATTCACCAGTATACGTGTCCATTCTAAACCCTGCACCTTTGTTTCCATCGGTTATGACGTACACCAGTTTGCCATTGTACCCTGGGTCAGGATCAGTGGCAGAGATTGTGGCAACAACCGTACCAGGTAGTAAGCTCTCACTGATTTGTACCTCAACAGGATTCGAGATCTCAAACTCAGGAGGGTTTAAATTCTCAAGGTATTCATTAGGAATATGGGAAACTACATCTTGGTTGGAGTCTGCGTTATTTGCCGCAGCTTTCTGAAGAAGTTCCTGCATCTGTTCTAAGACATTTGTAGCCTTACACGTAATACTGGCATCATTGTTTGACAGCATTTTATTCCTATTGTTGTTCACTAGGGTGATGTTGATGAACAGTGGCTCTGCATCGTTAACACCATCACTTGCTGTTAGCTTAATACTCCTGGTTGAGGCAGTAGTATCAACCCCTTTCCCGGACATTAAATTACATTTCATTTTGACGACTCCAGTTGATTCATCTAATGTAAAGCAGTTGTCATCATTCCCAGACAAGATTCTATAACTTATAAGGTTACCAATGTCAAAGTCAATCGCAGATATTGTAATTAACTCTGTGCCCAAGAGAGCTTCACGTGAGAGGTACCCTCGGCAACCATGCTGCTGAAAGCGAGGCCGATTATCGTTAACATCCTTAAGTTGAATTTTCAAAATGGTTTCAGATTCTCGTCGAAATGGACTTCCCCAATCTGAGGCTCTTATCTTCAATTTGTACTCTCGTCGCATAGATTCAAAATCGAGAACTTCCGTGGTTTTGATGTCACCGGAAAAATGATCAATTTCAAATGGGACTGGATTCATATTCGCAATGCTGTAGCTTATGTAGCCATTTTCACCACTGTCAACGTCATATGCATTTACAGTAGTAACAACAGTTCCAATTGGTTGATTTTCCATGACATAAACCTTACTGCCAGTCATATTGAACACGGGTGAGTTATCATTGTAATCTTGGATATTAATACGCAAAGTAGTTCTGGTGACTTTTCGTGACCTTGTAATACCCTGATCAGCAACTTCAACAACTAGTTCCACCACATTCGAGGTTTCAGCATCTAATGGATTTGCAACTGTTATTAATCCAGTTTTGTGACCAATATTGAACCATCCATTATCATTACCACCAACAATTTTGTATCTCACCTCAGCATTCTTCCCAAGATCCGTATCACTTGCATTCAGGAAAATCAATGGGGTTTGAACAGGGACTATTTCATCAATGTCTAACTCATACATTTTCTGTAATTTTGGAGGATGATCATTTTTGTCCTGGACACTTACATGTATCATTTTAGTAGTTGATTTTGGTGGTTTACCTTTATCTGTGGCTTGAACTGTGAGATTATAACCCATTGGGGTAAGCTCTCGATCTATTGATTGGGACACCTTAATGTGATAACTGTTTGCCTCAGGGGCCTCAACGATAGTGAAATCTCCCCCATTATTACCATCAATGATACTGACCTGTCCTATCTCCCCATTCACCCCATTGTCTTTATCAGTGACTAGCAGGACAGCGTAGAGTTTTCCTGGTGCGCTGTGTTCAATGACACTTGGGAAACTAGAAACTTGAATATCAGGTGCATGGAAGTTCACCTGTACAACAGAGATGCGTACCTTTGCTGTGCTTTGACTGCTTGATGATCCCAACTTGGCTCCTCGGTCCTCTGCCAGGACATCAAGTTCATAGAAATCATTTTTTGTGTATACCAACTGTCTTGTCAGAGAGACAATGCCCGACATGGGGTGAATTGCAAAGGTATCTGTTTTCTGTAGAAAGCTATAATACACCTCCCCATTGACACCAACATCAGCATCAGAAGCACTGACCTGTATGATGCTCCTATGGAGGGGATGGTCCTCGTGGACTCTGGCACTGTATGATATAGGATAAAACAATGGGGACATATCATTTGTGTCAGTAATGTGGATAATAACTTCCGTTTGTGCCTCCAAGGTTGGACTGTTTTTGTATTTTGCAATAGCTTTTATCCTAAGTCTATATAACTCTTGTCTTTCCCTGTTCAGAACTTCATGATTAGAGGTCTTAGTTCTGATTTTTAGGAAACTGAAATCACCGACCACTTCGACTTCGGTTTTGAAAAACTCGCTGCTATCTCCGTGTGTTATCCGATAGCGTATGCCTAAGGTAGGGTCAGTAATATACATTCCCATCTTTTGTGATGGTACAACATACGTTTTTCCTATAGAATTTTCTGGAATCGTTGCATTGTATATGGCCTCTGTGAACTTAAATGTTTCCTCATTCATGGGAGTCAAGGCGATTCCGTCAACTTTGATGATACTTAGTGTTGCTATGGCGATAAGCCACGCACAGAGTCTGATGTCGGCCATCTTGAATATATTTCTCAATTCAGACATCTTACACCTGAAAACAAAAACATCAGAATTATAAACTAGAAAACATTACATTTTTGAATATATATTTGAACAATCTTACACTTTCTATTTTTTCCACTTAATAATGATGTCACATGTCAAGTTTGATTATATCCTCTTAATTTGTTTTTTAATATACAATACATTTTAATGTTACTTCTCCAGGTATCTTTCATATAATATTATTTGTTGCTCAATAAATTATTGAATAAGTCGATCATATTGATGTTGATGTTTTATGACTAAAATATAACAGTGACAACTGCAATGTAGTGTCGTGAATCAATTTATTAGATAATATACATAAATCATATGTCTAAAATGAACATAAGGATCGCCAGTGGCTAATTAGTGAAAACAGTAAAACATGTACACGTGAACACATTTCCTAAATGAACATTTAGTTCCATTCATATGATGCATTAATGAACTATGTGTTATCAGAACTTGTATCAGAATCTGAACCTATATAAAATATAAACATTTCATCCAGTTATTTAAACTGTTAATTTTAAGTAGGATTTACTGTCATTTATGTGACAAAATCATGATATATTTTTGCCAGGTTTTCTGTTATTTTTAACTGGGCTGTTTTGACTCACGATTATAATGCTCCTCCCTTGTGTGGCCATCTTGAATTTAAGCCGGGTCAACTTGGCAATGAACATAATATTTTTGATGAATTTAGAAAAATATGTTTGAGAATTATATGTCATGATGAACTAGTTATACTTTCTAAAATCTCTTTGATTTGTTAATGATTTAAAATGATTTCCGTGAATCATTTGGTAGCAAACGAGATGTGGTAAAATTGAAAGTATACTTATCTACTTCACAATCAAGATGGATATACTTCAAAATAGATGAGAGGAATAAAACAGACATGTGGTCAACATATTAAAATATCTCCAAATACAGGAAAATCGGAAATGGTATTAACTTTTTCAAGAAGAAAAAGAATGGTAAAATATATATGACTTAAGTTCAGTGTAATTTTATGTTGCAACCAAGTTACACAATTCTTGATAAGACCAGCTGGTGCAAAACACTTCAAATTCTGCTATACAAGATATAGATGAATCAAGAGTGTTACAGAAAACACAGTCTTAGAGATTATAACAGAAAAATAAAAAACCAAATTACAGAAAAGATATGGTGAATGGTTTAGAAAAAGGGCATTGATAGAGAAATTTACCTAATCTTAATGAAAATAGGTCAGGGTGTCTAAATATAACAATTGATAAATGCTAGCAAACCAACAGAATTCTAACCAATTTAAAGAAATATTAACCAGTTTCTGTGAGATCGAAAATTGAAATATTGTAACTTAGAATATTGAGTAGTTAATTAACAAGAAAGTACTGAAAGGTCAAGATTGAAAATATTAATATCCCAGTCTTCAAAATAGAATTTCAAATATATTTAACAATGTCTCATGACTTACACCAAGAGGTACTAAAAAACAATATGTGATATAGTCTACGTTACAGGTAGTTTTCTGTATTAGGGGATCTAAAGTTTGTCTACAAAAAACATAGACTAGAATTACCAAGTGTGGGAGGTATGGGGGTGTCTGATTTTATGACCCCCAAATGACAACTGTGTTGTATCACATTGGAGTATCATACTCTAGCTGTTAGGGGTCAACCATTAATCAGTGAAACAAAAACAAAAACATGTGATAGAGACATCAAATTGTCTAGGGTTGCCAGTGACAGATTTTTCACTATAGGAGTTCTGCCAAAAGTATCTTTCTGATTGTGGCTCCATTTGCTAAATTTAAGGTTTAAATGAAACATTTGAATTTCTATTATTTCAAATTTATGCAATTTATACCATGAATTATGTCCTGAGAATTTCATGATAGTAAACACACAGCTGCATATTTGATTTGATATAAATTCTCGTGGAGGGTAGATCCTTCTCTGATTGAAACAGAATTTTGGCAAATTGGCAGTATTTAGTTGCTGAAGTGTTTTTGCGTTGGTGCTCAAGTTTAATCTTTGTTTCATGAGTCAATTCACTTTAGTCCTACTTATGCTTTTTAAAACATGCCAATTGATTTGATTCTGTTGCCATAGTAACTAGCTCTAAATATGCCCTTTTGCTAAAAATAGCTTTTCCGTGCTAGTAAGAGCAGAAAACAATTCACTACCAATCACGAAAATGTTGATGTACCAAAAAACAGATAAGAAAGAGTGAATTTGTCAAGGAATAGAATGGATAGCATAAACAGTAAGAAAACTGGAATAAGCAGAAAAACAGACTAAATAAACTGCAATTTTCACCCGAGGATGAAATCTTTCCCAAGTTGAATATCATTGAAAACCAAGAACTTCTACCTAAACACATTAGTAAAAAACACTTTGATTAGATCTAGGGGTAAACATTACATCTTAACCGTTCATGATCAGAATGTGTTTCAGAAAATATCAGACTTTTTGGAATAAAGTATTCTAAAAATTAAGCCCCAAATTTTTTTCTCTAAAAAGTTCTCCCAAGATCTTTGAATAAGCGACACACTTGTGCAAATGAAATGACAATCTGTCTTTTAAGAAAAAAACTTAGAAAACTAAAATCATAAAAAATGGAAGTCATGCACTTAACAATACAAACGAAAAGCTTTTTTCTTGCTCAGTAAAAAAAACTGACTTTCATGTTCTAAAACAAAGAACTTGAAAAGACCAATATACAAGTTTAACATTGCAAATCAGACTACACAAAATATATATAAGGCATTAACATGCAAAATATCATCACCTGCCATTTGTTACAGACCCTGAACACCAAACGCCAATACTTTTGGTGGTGACATAAAAACAGAGGTAATTTTTCAACCCTCAAGCAAGTCAGACTGATATCGCTTCATTTTCAGATTATACAACTTTACCATGCTAAATACCAAATTGTTGCAATGCGAAATTGATAATGAGGCTGCGATGAAGTTTGTAGGTAATTCCATGGGCTGTAAAAGATGTTCCATATGTTTTCCTAGCTCTGGTTACATTATAAGAAGCCAGTACCAGATGTGCCGATTTAGGGAACAAATCTAAAATGCCTGGATAATTGTTCAATAATATAAGTGAACTATTTCTAAATGTGATTCCATGTGAAATAAATCACAAAAAAAGTTTATTGAAAAGTATTCATGTTACACAAAAAGAAAAGTAGGTTAAAATAATATTTCATGAAACTCATAAAAAGTTAAATTGAAAGCTTTGATTTTAACATTGGTAGATTTGATATATCAATTACAAATAGATGAATAGTATATATTTGATTTCAAAAGTATTTATAGATTTTTTATCAGTCGGTTAATGTTGTACTTTAACATCAAAAATGAAGCCAAAGTCAATGTGTACTGTACTGTATTTTTGAACCAGACTATCCCTGACACTTCACCGATAACATTAACATTCAGACACACATAAGCATTACATCAAAACGATCATGATATATGTACATTTCACATTTCACTCATTGATAACAGATTACGAAATATACTGAACATAACACAAAATAAATGTTCGAACATATTATACTTCAGTGATATATCCATCCATAAAGCACCCAAATAGGAAAGGTCAGTGAAATGACAAGTTGTCTATAATCAGAATTCAATTGTGGTTTAACATGCGAGCAATCAGCCACCCAAGTCGAGTTGTTTTAGTGTTTAACCCTGTCTGCTTCTATTAAAACCCATGTCGGAGGGTCATAAAAATGATAAAATCCAGTGTTTTAAGGATGTTTGTCGGCTAAGGTGAAGTAGCTTCGTTAAGACATGGCCAGAGTATATTTCAACCTGAATATTGTAAGGATGTTGATATCTGTACAGAGTTCAGATGGTCAGTTTAAAAATATACCTACAAATCCCAAACCATATTACCATAAGGCCTTTCACTTCCATCATCAGTAGAAAACCAGCGTTTTTCCAGTAGATGAGATTTTATTGTTACTTTAAATGATATACTTTAAGGGACCTATACTCCCAATTTTAGATCTGTTGTTTTAAGCCTTATTTTGTTAAACTTAAATCCTACATAAAGCTCTGTGAAGGATATATATGTTATTCACCAATAGATTCACTTCTCAATAAATATCTATCATATTTCAATACCATTATTCTTTAAAGGATTAGACAGGAAACCAAAAAAGCCGCAAAAATGACACAAAGATAAGGCTTGTGAAATACATAGTCACACCTTTACAGAGAAATCTAATTACCTTCCTCGACTAGAAATTACCCGATTAGAAACCTCAAATTCTAAAAATCAACAACAAGAACACAAATGTGTACAATATGTCCCCACCTATGGGTAATCCTGTCAAATGATTATCCTAAAAATGAGTAGACAAGACTTTACCGACACAATTTGAGGACGGAGAATCCAAAATGGCCATCTTAAAATTTACCAAGAATGACAAAAAATTAGTCAGTTCTAGATTTTCATACTAAGAACCACCCCTGAAAATTTGAAATTGATCCCTCACACAGTTAACCAGAAAACATGTAAACAAGACGTTACAGACAAGATTTGAGGACAGAAATCCAAAATGGCTGCCTTGACATTTATCCAGAATGCCAAAAACTAATCTGTTCTAGATTTTCATACTAAGAATCATCCCTGAAAATTTAAAATTGATGTACCAAACAGTTCACCTGGAAATGTGTAGACAAGACTTTACAGACAAGATTTTAGGACAGAAAATCCAAAATGGCTGCCTTGACATTTACCCAGAATGCCCAAAAACTAATCAGTTCTAGATTTTCATACTAAGATTCATCCCTGAAAATTTGAAATTGATCTACCAAACGGTTCACCTAAAAACGCGTAGACAAGACTTTACGGGCAAGATTTTAAGACGGAAAATCCAAAATGGCTGCCTTTACATTTATCCAGAATGCCGTAAAAATTATCAGATCTAGATTTTCATACTGAGAATCATCCCTGAAAATTTGAAATTGATCTACCAAACGGTTCACCTGAAAATGCGTAGACAAGACTTTACAGACAAGATTTTAGGACGGAAAATCCAAAATGGCTGCCTTGACATTTACCCAGAATGCCCAAAAACTAATCAGATCTAGATTCTCATACTAAGAATCATCCCTGAAAATTTGAAATTGATCTACCAAACGGTTCACCTGAAAACGCGTAGACAAGACTTTACAGACAAGATTTTAGGACGGAAAAATCCAAAATGGCCGACAATAAAAAAGTGATTATGAGTTTTTGCTGAAATCTTTTTACAAAATTATCACATATACCTACTGTTAACAATAACATAAGCTTTTACAACAAAGTACACCTGAAATTATTTATAAAGCTACTAAAAAGTTAAAGCATGAAAACTGAAAAACACCATTCAATATGATACAAAGTATTATCGTGCGCTAACTTTTCTTAAAACATTCAAAATGGCTGACATGACTGAGCTAACAGGTCCAAAACCTAATCAGATCTAGAATGAAGTGAGCTGAACAAGATGTTAAAGTTTTAAAAGCAACTGTGAAGCCGTTTTTCTTAAAGTTTGCAGACAAGGATTTTAGCATTTGACTTCAAAATGGCCGACAGGAAGTAGGTATCGAGTTAATTTTTTTTCATCCACATCTGTATGCACTCATAAATTATCCCTGAAAATTTGAAGGTGATATCTGCAGCGGTTTTGGAGAAAACTCCCGGACGTACGGACAGACAGACGGACAGACAGACAGACGGACGCGCCTAGGCCGACAATATGGCCCCACACTATGTGGTGGGGACATAAAAACTATTTTTATGTAAATACTGATGATATGACTCAATTTATTTAATATTTCTTTGTAGGTTTCGCTGATAACAATTCCTCTGAACTCAGTTTAAGAATCCATTTTTCAATTGTTCTAAGAAGTCTGAGTCTACTATTGAAATGCCACTCATGGAATGAAATGCCAATAATGAGAATCAATACATCAATATTCTATATTACTCTTTGCAGCCTGGCAAGAATATATTTTACAGAAAAACAGATTTGGAATAAGATTTTATTTTTGATTCAAAGAATGTGTTCATAGATTTGTATTCACCAGTTTTCTGGTATTAGGTGAACACGAGAGGTCACAGGCAATGAAAACTTAGGCCTGGGTCCCTTTTCATAGAATAAATAGAACCTCATTTTTAAGAGCTAGTAGTGTATGCTGTGGAACTATGAGACAATAATCGAAAATTACATTGTCAACAAGTTAAACGTTGGTCATTTAAAAATGCTCAACTGGTGTTATGGATAAAACGGAGAATAAATGGTAGGCCTAACTTTTTGAGTCCAAGAAACATGATCGCCACTCTAAACATGGAAAATGTACTAGAGAAAAATTTTAGCACTTTCTCCAGAGAATCGTCTCATGGCAGTTTTGTAATCAGCATTTAAAACATAATTATTTCGGCTAATCAAAGAATGTCCAAATGAGAATCGAGCCAAAGCTCAGGCGATTTTCAGCTCAGGCTGGCAGAACAAGAGGTGGCCAAAAGTTAACAACCCACAGATTTTATAGAGGAAACTACAGTCCCACATCTTCATACTTTATTTCCCAGTTTTTACTGTACCCAAAAGTTTATGGGTATCTACCTGTTGTTCTGACTCATCTATAAAGGTAAACTTCCAGTCCTCCATAGAAAATCATAAAAACATTCAAAAAAAGTTTCCAATAAATTTTTGTCAACTTTGGACTCGCATATCTTAATGTTCTGTAAAAATCAACTTATAAAACTTACCAAACGTGATGACAGTAAGATAATCCGTATATCCATTATATATTTATGTTGGAAATATAAGGTTATCCGTTAGAATTTGCATATAATTCGCCATAATATTTCTTCACGTTGAACTCTATGTTATGGCCGCTGCACTCAATTTAGTTTGACCTACTTTTGGTGCATATCATTCCGCGATCTCGTTCATAAAGTTTTGAAGAATATAGTCCAGTTTTGTTCATCAGATAACAAGTTTAGGAGAGCAAAAGGCTATATTTTCTTGGAAATTACTTCTATTATATCGTGATAAGCGTTATTCATTACAGAATCATACAAATACAAGCTAAAGAAGTATTTTAGATTCAATGCACTTTTTATAAAAGGGCTTCTTATTCAATAGAAAATTTGCATTGGCCTGACATCTATGAATAGGAAAAGAACTAATTTACATTAGCCTAGATAAATCCATTGAACATGATACCACCCTGTTATCTATTTAGAAAGGGGAAATTGTTGACTATTTATGCTTGTTAATTAATATACTTTCCAGGAATTTCTATGCTGGCAATAGACTAAAAAAAATATGAATATTTAACCTCTTGAATCCCAGGCTCTAAAATCAGTTGAAACCAGAGAGTTTTTCATTTTTGCCACCATTTGACATTTTTCTACATACCTATACAACTATAAAAGCTCAACTTAGTAACTTCAGACGGCAGACAACATTTCTACACATTTTAAAACAATTTTTGTGTAAATTGGATGAAAATTGTTCAAATAAGAGCAATTTTAGTGAAAAATTTTGTGACAGATTTTCTTGTCACTCTGGGTTTCAAGGTCATTTCTGAGGTGACGAGAAATCTTGTCACTCCAGGTATTCAAGAGGTTAAGTAAAAGGGAACTTTCTACTATACCCATCATGGTATCTGACCTGAGCGAGCCACCTGGTGGTAGAACTTTAATTTTCATATCACCCTTATGTACACTCCCCTCCATAAGTTTGGCATCTTTCCTAAAACTGGGGCAGATTATTACAAAACAAAATTAAATGCCAAGATATGGACTGTACTTGTAACAGATCCTAATTGCAATAGAAATTTAATAATTATGTTGATCTAAAGTCATATTAAAGTTAAGAGTTCCTGGATTGAAAGGTCTGTGTATTTAAGCTAAGCATTGTCTCTATTAAAAGTCCATGAACAGTTTATGCAAACTCATGTATCATTTTATCAGTCTCTTTGTTTCTTTTACTTCCAAATAATATAAAACCTTTTTAGAAAATAATGGAGGATTTGTGTTTTGTTTGTTTCTCCACATCTCACCCTCTTAAGATTTAGTCCCTTAATAGGACATTAAACATGAGATTATACTGAATGGCCTTAATGAACAAAACAATTAATTTTTGTGCAGAGTATTTATTACAAATTGTAATTTGTTTCAAAGTACAAGGTTTTTAGCAGATTACATATCATAATAATGTAAACAATTTATTCTAATTAAGAAGTTTGGGTTGCACCAAGATTTAGTGGTGTACATATCTATTTTGCTAAAATTTTGACTGAATGTCAAAACAGTCATATACATTTAGTGTTTTATAGATATAATGTATTTTGGACTGGCCTTCATTCATAATAACAAATATTTTCAATCGATGAGTTTTTCAGGAGAACTTGTCAAGTACACAATTGACAAACAGATATCCAACTTTAGACTTCAAACCATCTTTCTTGAAGCAAATAATGACATATGGGCCATAAAAATAAAACCAATCTACAATATACTTAAGTTTTGATATTTCCTTCAACATTCATTTGGTTCAGACTTCAGGTACATTCAATATATTGAAATCAAGAAAATATTTAAAAATAATTTAAAATAAGCCATTGATTGCCAAGAAAAAGACGGGTCGTTTTTGGTTTATTTATTTAACACTGAATTCAATACAAAAATATTGGTAGGCAACTCATTCATGAAGTCTGACACCATATTTTGTTCAATGCATGAAGATGGATACCAGTGTTTACAAACAGCATATGAGTAAGCAATCTAACTACAGCATATGGTACATATATCTTTATATCTTTACAATATACATAATGTGAGCCTTGCACAAGGTGGTCTCTTTTTATTTTCTAATTTCAATTTCACATTCATTCTTGTATATAATTGAAAATCAAGATAAATAAATGATAAAATAGACTTGTCTAATTCATCAAAAAATACAGCTTTTTGTGGAATCACCCAGTGAAATTTTAAAAGGTAAAGTGATTCATCTAGGAATACGACAACAAACAATTATCTGGTCAGTTGAGATGTGTGTTATAAATAATGTTTGCAGTATTGGTTACCATGGAAACAGTGTCACTAATAAAATACCCTACTGGCAATAATGCCATAGTTCTCCCAAGTACTCAGGGATTTGTTTTTGGTACGATCATAACCCACGATTCCAATGTCTCCTTTTTGACAAACAACAACTTGTGACCAAATCGTAAATTATGACGGTTCCAAAATTGAAGTCCAAGTACTTTCTGAGAATGCATTGAATTAAGTACCCAACATTATAATATTTACAAAAATGTGGTCATCCATGTGGTCTAAACAAATTCTATAAGCCAAACATGATTGTAATCTAATATATTTTCAACTAAAATGGACCTTGTAAGCACCTTGAAAGTTGAACACATTCTGAGCTCAATGTTTGACTATCACATTGACAGTTTATTAATTTTTTTTCTTGATTTCTGAACATTTCTAGAAAATATATAGTCTATGTAAAATATTAATCTTGTTCACTACAAGTATCAATTCTTTTTCTTCAAATGGGCACCAGCAAATCCTGTGTATGTGAACACCATTAAGGTGAATGTAAATGCTGTGAAATGTGAACACTGGAAAATATGAACACTTGAATGTGAACACTTGTTTATTTTAAGGTCCATAATATCCTTCTTAATTCAGAACATTTAAATGTGAATATACATACATGTATTTTGAATGTCTCAATTATTTCCATGTTGTTTCATTATGTACACTCATGTGTTATGTAACCTTGAATTATTAACACTCAAAGCAATGTTCTCTATAGATATGTTTATGGTATATGGTTGTAATAAAAACTTCTTTGCATACATATTTCAGCTCAAACATTCAGTAATAGTATTTGGGTGGACAAATGTCTCCTGTGAAATGACATATGACCATCCGGCATGCATTCTTAGAAAATATCATATCCTCTTATTGTGACATCACCATTGCCATAACAATAAAATATATTGATAATGTTTACAAGGAACACACCCCACAGTATTTGCATCTAAATATCATCTGGCTCTTGCTTCAATGCATGGTTTGCTCTGAATAAGGTGTTTCCATCTTTCACAATGGAGTCTAAACTGTCCACAATTGTGCAATGGTCTTGGAACTTGCGTGGTAGTGATCCAATACTTTTCCTAGTAGATCTACGCACTGGTGTAACAACAGCACATTGAGGACTGCCAGCGCCATCTACTTTTGACCGCAATCTGGAAAAGAATTATTTTTGTGAGTGTAGTATAAATTACATATACTTGTAAATCAATTTTATCTTATTAACATAAATTACATTGTATTTGTCACTTTCAATTGTTGAAAACAGAAAAATGTATCAGCTTTTAACCCAAAGTGACGAATATATCAAGTGCTAATAACACAGATTTTAGTACTAAAAATCATTAAAAAAAATCATGTACTTTTGGTTCCTGACATGCAAAATAGGAGAAAAAATAAGAAAGACATACTAATTGTTTTATATCAAATCACTTAAACAAATTTAAAAAATAAGTATTGAGCTAGCCCAAAGTTAACTGGAAGTCCAGTAATTTTGTTTTGTGTACTTAAAAAAGAAAACAACATTGCAATTATCTTTTTACATATCCCCATATATACCTCTTAAAGAAAGGAGTAGGGGCTTCATTAATTGAGTACTTGATAGCACTAGATTGGAACACATTCTCATCACTAGTGTGTCGTGGTCGACGTGGGGTCTGAGCAGCACTTTGCTTGGCATGATTCCTCTCTTGCATTCTGATCAGGAATTCCTTGAGAGCTTCAGCTAGCATATCTGGAGGCTGAAGGAACAATAAATCTTATATGATTTGGGATAAAATACAAGGTTGCAATATATAATTGGAAACAAGGAAGATTGGCTCCCAGGATTGAAACTTGTTATTTTCCAACAATGAAAACATCAAAATGTCGTTATTTTCTGAAATTATAAATGACTATTAATTCAAAATGAACAGTTCAAAAGATTAAAACCAATATCTTGATCATTTCTTGTGAGTTTTGAATTTTTTCGTTGGGAAATAAGACCAAAATTCACGATTCAAATGTCGAAGCGAACAAAACAGCAGCTGTTTGAATTCGAATTTTGTATCACGACATGTCCATATATGGGACAGGATATCGATGTTGTACTCTGGGAGCCAATCCTCCTTGATTGGAAACATACAATACATGATGATGATTATGCATGTATACCTGTGCATGTACTATAAAAAGAGATATGCACAATAAATAAATAAATAAATAAGAGGAAACATACAATAAATTATTTATGCAGTATTAACAAGAATCTACTTCTTATGGCCTAATTAACATAACATACATTAAATTATGCATGAACAATAATTGAAAACACAACAAATTATGCATGTACAATACATTAGAGGAAAGTATTCAATCCTGAACACATACATGTACAAAGGTATGCTGGTGTACATTACTTGAGGAGCTATACAGAGCATAATGAACACATTATGAAAAAAACAGAAGAGATATCAACCCATAATACCTTAGCACTATTCCTAGATGCCTGTTCATAGACATTCAAAGCTGCTGGGAATCCCCCATCCTCTTCTGCTATTCTGGCTTTGGTTATCCAGAACTGGGCAGAAGTCCTAGCACTTGGGATGTTCTTCAACATTTCCTCAAGCCATGAGTTGATGCTTTTAATAGGACACTCCTAGAAAAATACAAACCAAGCTTTATCTTTGAAAGAGGAGGCACACTCCCAGAATACATTGGGACACAAGAGGAACAGCTCCATCATTCAAGCAGATATTCATATATGCAAACTAAACTGGAAGAGAGTAAGCTTTATACACACACAACTTGAAAAATAAGGTCAAAAGAAGTAAATATGTTTCCTGCTACTGTGAATAGATGGTATTATCAATAATTGCCTTAATATCATTGGACATATCCTCAATTTTTAAAACAGATCTGTGATCACAGATTGGACCATTACTGAATAATCAGAACTTACTGCTTCATATAGTATCATACACTCATCTAGCATTTCTGTAAGTTTATCTTCTACGGGGTCTACATGTTGCATTGCAGGGGTGTCTGTATCTGACCCAGAATTAGCTTCAGCAAGTTGACTGCCAAGGTTTAACTGGACACTCTCTAACTCAAGCTGCTTTTGCTGAAAATACAAATTGTCACATTTTGTTGAATTCTCCATAAACTAGTATAGTAGATGTCACATTTTGTTGAATTCTCCATAAACTAGTATAGTAGATGTCACATTTTGTTGAATTCTCCATAAACTAGTATAGTAGATGTCACATTTTGTTGAATTCTCCATAAACTAGTATAGTAGATGTCACATTTTGTTGAATTCTCCATAAACTAGTATAGTAGATGTCACATTTTGTTGAATTCTCCATAAACTAGTATAGTAGATGTCACATTTTGTTGAATTCTCCATAAACTAGTATAGTAGATGTCACATTTTGTCGAATTCTCCATAAACTAGTATAGTAGATGTCACATTTTGTCGAATTCTCCATAAACTAGTATAGTAGATGTCACATTTTGTTGAATTCTCCATAAACTAGTTTTGTAGATGTCACATTTTGTTGAATTCTCCATAAACTAGTATAGTAGATGTCACATTTTGTTGAATTCTCCATAAACTAGTATAGTAGATGTCACATTTTGTTGAATTCTCCATAAACTAGTATAGTAGATGTCACATTTTGTTGAATTCTCCATAAACTAGTATAGTAGATGTCACATTTTGTTGAATTCTCCATAAACTAGTATAGTAGATGTCACATTTTGTTGAATTCTCCATAAACTAGTATAGTAGATGTCACATTTTGTCGAATTCTCCATAAACTAGTATAGTAGATGTCACATTTTGTTGAATTCTCCATAAACTAGTATAGTAGATGTCACATTTTGTTGAATTCTCCATAAACTAGTTTTGTAGATGTCACATTTTGTTGAATTCTCCATAAACTAGTATAGTAGATGTCACATTTTGTTGAATTCTCCATAAACTAGTATAGTAGATGGCGTCATGAATTATGCTTCAATTCTGTTTCAAATGACATTAAACGTGCAACTTAAATATAAAATCAAGCATGAGTCACCAACTGGTCTGAAAAGTTACAAAAATGTAAGTTTAACTACAACTACAATGATCAAACTATTGTACTTGACAAAACCAGGGTATAACAAATAACATTTATAACTTGTATGTAGAATCATTCCATTTTTCGAAATCAAGCAAGTGAATTATCTAATATAGCTTATAGGCATTTGATATATTTATTGCCTTGATGGATGGATGGATGAATGGATGGATGTATGGATGGATAGACAGAGGGATGGATGGAAGGACATAGGGATGGGTGGATCGTGGATGGATGGACAAGTGGATGGATGGACAAGTGGATGGATGGATGGATGGATGGATGGACAGAGGGGTGGGTGGATCGTGGATGGATGGACAAGTGGATGGATGGACGGACAGAGGGGTGGGTGGATCGTGGATGGATGGACAGAGGGGTGGATGGTTGGATAGAAAGAGGGATGGATGGGCAGAGGGATGGATGGTTGAATGGACAGAGTGAGGGATGAACAGAGGGATGGATGGATGGATAGACGAAGCATTCTCTGTATTCCTCTTCAAACAAAAGTTTTGGGTACAAAAAATTTACCTGTTGGTCAAGTTCTGCTTCAGAGAGTCTATGTTTTGTTCTCTTGGTCTTCTTCTTGTCCATCTGATCATGGAAGCAACAAATATGTCTGAACTTTGATGGCGTCTTTCCCTTTGATTCCAGCCATGTTTCAAGCTCCAACCTTAAGTATAGAGATATGGATATAATTAACAAAGATGTGGATATTCAGTAAAGAGACATGGATAGTACTATATTAAAAAAAAAGATGCGGATATACAGTACAGAAACATGAATATTTAAATATAGAAGTATGGATATAAAGTATAGACATGGATCTAAATTACAGAGACATGGATATTAAGTCCAGAGACTTGGAAATACAAGAGAGACATAGATATAATATGGGCCTTTAAGGTTTCATTATTATTTTGTGTTAAATAAACATTGATATCAATAAACACTGATCGCATCTTAAATAAAAAAATATATCAAAAACTCAAATTTAACTGTTGGTTCAGCCCTAATAGTGTTCATTTGCTTTATTTTCATAATCCCCATGTTATGTAGTGGTGTACACACAATTTGAACATGACTGTATTCATGCCTTCGATAAACTTTGAACAAAGTCAGTATTTCACCTGGTATTTATTCGTCGATACAACACCTGGTAATATGAGTGGTATGTGACGTCATAATGGCAGGCCATAATGAATATTTGAAAAATTTTGGTGAGTTTTCATGTTCGACTCGTAATATAGACCTCAGATTAGGTATTATATCGAGTAACAAGGCATTAACATGACAGAATGTCACCATCTAGTTGCTCATAATATTATGTGTTAAATCTTAAGTCAGATTTAAATTTCTGAGAATATGTATTGAAGTTTTGAAAAAATAAATTGGTCAATTTGAAGCAAGTTGAAAAAAGACCTTTCTTGACCATGAGAAGGTCATTGAAGGTGAAATCTCAAGTCAGATTTCAACTTTTGAGAACTTTAAGATAATTTTGAAAAAAATTGGTCAAGAGGAAAAAAGACCTTGAGAAGGTCATTGAAGGTAAAATCTTTTTTGACCTTGAGAACGTCATTGAAGGTCAAATCTATAGCCAGATTTGAACTTTTGAGAACTTGTAGATGATTTTGAAAAAATGGTTAATTTGAAGCAAGTTGAAAAAGACCTTTTTGACATTTTTTGACTTTGAGAAGGCCATTGAAGGTCAAATCTCAAATCTAAATTCAGATTTGAACTTCTGATAACTTGACGAGGATTTTGAAAAAAAATTGGTCAATTTGAAGTTGAAAAATACCTTTTTTTGACATGGAATTGTCATTGAAGGTCAAATCTTAAAAAAAATATAAAGTCAGATTTGAACTTCTGAAAACTTGTAGATGATTTTGAAAAACTGAAGTCAGTCTAAACAGTATTTGTTAAGTTACTGGAAGAATTTGTTATAGCCGCTGATCGCCAACCACCAACCGCCGTCAAAAAAATGTAGACCATAACAATATGTCAACACTTTTTGGTGGCAAGAAAATAAATACCTTAGGGCAAGGCACAAACGCTTTCAAACTCCTCACTCCCTTCGATTGTTTGGGATACAGAAAACATCTTAACCTAGCCTTGCAGTATTTATTCGTTGAAATAATACCTGCTCTCCAGTCTATATTTCTTGATTAAAATGCCAGGATTGATTTGTGAAAGTCAAGTTTAATCTTTACTGGAAGGCATTTTTTGCCAAGAAAAACATTGTTGATGTGATTTTTAAATACAGTTTCATTGATCTGAGCAATGAATCATGACTCCTGAATAAAGTACTAAATTCATGGCAATTTGTAAATAAATTACATGTACTTCCAAAGATATTTGACATTTTAGATGACATGCTCTAAATCATCTCTATCATGATCGATGCAGTTTAGATGACATGCTCTAAATCACCTCAATCATGATCGATGCAGTTTAGATGACATGCTCTAAGTAGGGCTGGTACGGAACGGAACGGAATCGGAACGGAACGGAATTCGGAACTTGGCTTCGGAATTCGGAACTTTCGGAATTTCGGACCTTATTTAAAATAGTTCCTACTTCTCCCCTTAAGTTCTCATTTTTGTTACCATTGGAACAGCAATGTACAACTATAAATATATAAGTTGTATTATGTTTATTAAATACAAAAACTAACACTATCTTACTGCCAGAACAAGTGGCATAAATGTTCAAAACTAATGGCAAAATGTTAATGTCCTTGCCTTCTTGGCACCTTGGCATACAACTGTTACTGTATATTGTCTTTCTTACAATAATTGTCTTTTCTTATGGGTACTGAATATATATAAAACAATCATACTTTATTTATTTCTATCATTCATTACATATTAAACAACTTTACCAAGTGAAAATGTTTAATAATATATATTTATTGATTTCGTTTCATAGAACTAGTTCGCTATAGCGGGTTAGCGTGTCGCTATAACGATTATTGAGTGTTCTTAACGGAAAATAAAAGTTCCGAAAATTATCGGAATATGAGAAGGTAGGTCCGAAAGTCTGTTTCCGAAGGCAAAATCGGACGGTTCGGACAATAATTCTGTTCCGTGCCAGCCCTAGCTCTAAGTCACCTCTATCATGATCGATGCAGTTTAGATGACATGCTCTAAATCACCTCTATCATGATCAATGCAGTTTAGATGACATGCTCTTAATTACCTCTGTCATGATCAATGCAGTTTAGATGACATGCTCTAAATCACCTCTGATCAATGCAGTTTAGATGACATGCTCTAAATCACCTCTATCATGATCAATGCAGTTTAGATGACATGCTCTAAATGACCTCTATCATGATCGATGCAGTTTAGATGACATGCTCTAAATGACCTCTATCATGATCAATGCAGTTTAGATGACATGCTCTAAATGACCTCTATCATGATCGATGCAGTTTAGATGACATGCTCTAAATGACCTCTATCATGATCGATGCAGTTTAGATGACATGCTCTAAATGACCTCTATCATGATCGATGCAGTTTAGATGACATGCTCTAAATCACCTCTATTATGATCAATGCAGTTTAGATGACATGCTCTAAATCACCTCTGATCAATGCAGTTTAGATGACATGCTCTAAATCACCTCAATCATGATCGATGCAGTTTAGATGACATGCTCTAAATCACCTCTATCATGATCAATGCAGTTTAGATGACATGCTCTAAATCACCTCTTTCATGATAGATGCAGTTTAGATGAATAAACACAAGGAGCACACATATCTTGAACTCGCACCCTCGTGGTTACGGCGCCCAATCGTTTAGCTCGACTGTTAGAAATGAAAAAAATAAAAAATTTCTAAAAGCCAGTGGTATAACGGATTGCACCACGTGACATTTCATACTTGCTAGTATGCTTCAAAATTTTCAAGTATCGATGTTTTATTCAGTTTTCATTTTTTGCATTGGAGTCGCGCAACGAAATAGACATTGAAGTAATACCTTAATATGGTATGTTCTTATGTTTTATAGCAGGGTTCCTATAACCTTTTCAAACTGAAACAAACATTTTCAGGCAAAAATAATATAAAAAAAGGCAGGTACGTTATTGCAAGCTTTTTTTTACTATGGATTGTGAGATATAATAGATTATAACAAATGGATAATGAGATAATCCCTTTCTCATTTTGTTATTTTTTTCCTTTTTGGAGATCAATTATGTAATATCCCCCAATCTTTTTGTACATGAACCATATCAAAAATATGTTGCTTTTACGACAGATGTTTGACCTCAAACTTCCATTGTTTTCGGATTATCTTAATCCCAAGGGACTCACTTTTCCTTTTCAGAGGTAAATCATGACTTAAAGTACATTTCAATTTAGTCGTAAAAATTGGAATAAAATGCTGCATTTTTGGTGAAAATTGGAATAAAATGCTGCATTTTTGGTAAAATTGGCTCATACATGTAATTGTGGGAAATTGGTGATGATGGGTGGATTAATGACAGCTTAAGATATAATCCGTTATACTTTACTTTCATTCTATTGTCCTATATTGAAGATGACATATTGGCCAAACAAATGCATTTGTTTTTGTGGTGAAATAATTATTAGAACTTAAGTAAGAGTTGTCTAAAAAAAGCGTGCAATAACGTAACTGCCCCTTTAAGGAACTTTAAGGAATATTGTCTTAACACAGTCCCGTAGGATAACTCAGTATACCTATAACCTTTTCAAACTGAAACAAACATTTCCAGGCAAAAATAATAAATTTAAGAAATATTGTCTTAACACAGTCCCGTAGGATAACCCAGTATACCTATAACCTTTGTAAACTGAAACAAACATTTCCAGGCAAAAATAACAAATTTAAGAAATGTTGTCTTAAAAGGATGTCATTTTATCATTTCAAAATTCACCACCAACATATTAGCCTCTTTTTGAGGATTCAATTAGAATTAAAATTAATGAAAATTAATTAATCATTTTCTAGCTACAGGAACAGCACTACTTTAATATTGTTAAATGTAGTGTTGATGTACAATCTGAGTGGGCAGCAGATATATTGAAAAGTTTGTTCAGTGCTAATTCAGTGGATTACTTGGAGGGGAATTCAGCTGGAAATTCATTGGTTGATTTAAGTAGTATCCAAAAAATGAATCTCTTAATTTCATTTGTATATCCATGGATTATCAATTGCATATTTATTGGTCTATGCACTGGAAACTACACAGCTATAGAGGCAATTGGGAAAGTGGAATGGTCGGTTGCTCAGGCTTATTGTGTCGCAAACTATGCAGGACACATTGCCATGCCAAACACCCTTGATGAACAGACAGCCATCGCAGATGTAGCAGCTCTTCATACGTGGAGGTATGTGAACAAAATTATATTATATTTACGATAATATGATGAGTTTCATCTTCACTTGATTATTTAATAAGAATTAAAGTTTATCAATCAATTCTGAAACTCCTAATGTTTGCACAATTTAACTGATTTTCAAAAACATTGATGGTAAATATGTGATTTTCCAAAAATTGGTAGAAATAACCCAGATGCCAGTACGTAGTTAGCAGTTTCACCACTAGGTAGCTAATTTGAATCAGATAACATGGCAGATATAGTAGAAATTTTCCTGTAAACTTGAATTTGAAGTGAATCAATTTTATATAACTTTTTTTTT